AACAAAGTATGGGCAGTTTGGAACCGCGTGATTCTCGGCTGACTTCCTTGAATAAGACGCCGTTCAGTTTTTAGGGTAAGGATTTTAGAAAAAAGTATCTTATAGTCGGAAAAATACGGTAACTTATTTTCAGCTACCACACATTCCATTTGGGTTACAATGTAATAATAGATACCATATACTCTTCTACTCAAAGATGTTGAATAAAACCTTGAACCCTATTTTCACCCACACTTTCCATGGCAAACTAAATTTTCCTTTTAATCAGGAATGCTACTTCGGATTCCTAGCAACATATTTCTTTTGTGAGTTCTTGGTATTTGAACCTGCTTTTCTTGTAGATGTTTCATTACCTGGCTAGATAACATCAGAAGTGATGAGGGAATTAACTTTGCTGGCTATTTATATTTTAGTTTATACTTCAGAAAGGCGTTTGAAAAAATTGACCATAACCTCCTTTTTGATAAACTGGAACAATGTGGAATGGATTTTCCCACTACCAGATGGATTTGCAGTTGGCTGAACAGCCATAGCTAATGCATGATCCTTAATGGGTCTATGTCCACATGAAGGGAGGTGTGCAAAGGGGTACTTCAGGGTTCTGTCCAGGGCCCAGTACTCGAGATGACTTTGATGAGGGAATAGAAGGTATGCTCATAAAATTTGCAGATGACCCAAAACTGGGAGTGATTTCTACCACCCCAGATGACAGGCTCAAGCTTCAAAAGGATCTTGATAGGCTTCAACATTGGACCCTATCCAACAAAATGTTGTTCAATGATGAAAAATGTAAGGTTCTGCAAAAACCAGATGCACAGGTACAAGTTAGGTATAAAGTATATGAAGTATAAACAGTAGTACTTGCAAGAAGGATATGAGTGACTTGTTAGACCACAGATTAAGCATAACCCAGCAACGTGCTGCAGCTGCCAAAACAGCCCATGCAATTTTGAGATGCATCAACAGAGGAATAGCGTCAGGATCTCTGGAAGTGATATTACCATTCTACGATGCACTGGTTAGATTGCACCTGGAATACTGAGTCTAGTTCTGGCCACCACAAAACAAAAAGGACACTGAGGAACTGGAAATAATCCCAAGAAGACCAACAAAGATGATCAGGGCCTTGGAGGCTAAATTCTATGAAAAGCAGTTAAAGGAACTTGGTAAGTTTTGCCTAAAGAAGTCTAAGGGGAGATGTGATAGCAGTCTTCTGATACATGAAGGGATGTCACGCAACAGAGTGTAAGAACCATGGTACTCAGTTCCCAATGAAAGCAATTGTCATTGAAACCAATGCAGGTCCAAAGGAAAGTTTATTTATTGAAAAGTAGTGAATAGCTCTAGAAACTGCTGGAACTGAGTCCTGCACATGCCAAAACTTAGTTTTACCTCACTCCCATTTCACCCCTCCCCTTCTGTCTTTGAATCTCTCTTGCGCATGTCGAAGATGTTCTCAGGTTCCCACACTGGTACGACCTTGGGCGTTCCTGAGAGCCAGAGAATGGCCCATCTGTGCCTAATTGTTAACATTCCAACCTTCTCTCCGTTCCTCCCTCTCTACTGTAATGGCAGAAACAAAGCAAGTGAACTAACAGTGCAAGTGATTGATTGCAAGGATTCTGACATGCCGCCCCTCTGGGGAAAAAAAGGATCAGTTTCAGTCTTCATGGAAGGAGACCTGTAAAGGGACTAGAGAGAGAAGTAAAATGTATGTACATTTTTACAACATGAATGAATTTGTTATTTTTGCTTGTCAGGGTATTTCTTGTAGAAGTCCTTAATCAACTGTGGTGCTCACCCATGTTTCTTTGCTACCCACTCGCATTGTGACTTGGGAAAATGCTTCCATTGAATGAGGAATTGTACTTCTCCTCTGTGTTTTCTGGCATCTAAAATCTCTTTTACTTCAAAGTGCTGCTTGTCTTCAATCATTATAGGGTCAGGTGATGGTTGTGCCACGTGCCACTCTGGTGATTCTTTGTAAGGTTTTAAGAGGCTACAATGGAATACTGGGTGAATTCTCTTAAAATTCTTAGGCAATGTAGTCGAACTGTAACAGGGTTAATGACTCTCTATTGTAAAAGATCCCACAAACTTGGGTCCCAATTTCTTCGATGGTTGTAGTGTTCTGAGGTACTTAGTTGATAAATACACTTTGTCTCCCACTTTCCATTCCTTTTCAGGGGACTGCTTGCGATCTGCGTGTTTTTTGTAATCCTCCCTGGCATCTTGTAATGCCGCTTTAATTATCAGCCAAGTATCTGTCATTTGTTTGATCCATTCATCTACTGAGGCCACTTGAGTGGATTCCTGGGGAAGTTCTGGGATAGCCACAAAATCCTGCCCAGAAGCCACTTTGAACAGGGTAAACCTAGTGCTCTGATGCACAGCATTGTTATAAGCCACTTCAGCAAATGGCAGGAGTTCTGCCCAATTGTCCTGCTGATAATTTACAAAACATCTTAAATACTGTTCTAATACAGAATTCAAATGTTCAGAAGCACTTTCTCTCTGGGTGTGGCTACTTGAACCCAGGGCTTGACCTGATCCAATTAGCTTCACAAACACCTTCCAGAACATATTGTCGAAGGCTTTCACGGCCGGAATACAATGGCTGGTGTGGGTCTTCCGGGCTGTGTGGCCGTGTTCTGGAAGTTTTGTTTCCTAATGTTTCCACAACAGGGTCACATCATCCTGGGCACAGAGAGAACTGCTCCTGTCTGTGCTCCTGCTC